TCACTGAACAATATACTGTGCGAAGTTTTCGCACGGGCCAACTTGTATTTATATAATATTATAATATATTATATTCTACTCTGAAAACAATATTATTTTCAATTTGGGATATTTCTCCTTTTATTAATTTTCAAATTCTTCCATAATTATATTTTGTAATATTTCATTACTACTAATAATGAGAGGCGGTTAATTATTTCAAATTGCAATAAAAGTTAATATAATTGTGCACTAGTAAAAATGTGCATTTTGAGGCCAGTTTCAAGGCCTATTTCAAGAATACCGAGCTGGTATTAAAGAGCTTATATTCTATATATTGGGTTGGCAAATAAGTCCTTTCCTTTTTTCAGGGTGAAATAAAACTCAATGTACTATAGACATAAAATTTATTTTAATATATATTGACCATTATTTAATATGACTTTTTCCTATCTTTCCACTAACTGCATAACGCAATGTTCATAGAATGTCTGTAGTTTACTGTTAAAAAACTGATTCGATTGGTTTTTGATATCCTCTTCAAATTGGAATTTCTTTCAATTCATGGAGTTCTGCAGAGACCGGAATAAGTGGTAGTCACTTGGAGCTAGGTCTAGTGAATAGGGAGGGTGGGGCAAAAGGTCCCATCCATGGCTCAATAATTTATTGCGATTGAGCAATGAGGTGTGGGGGCTAGCGTTGTCTTTGTGGAACACAACACCCTTTCGATCATACATAGCGCTTCAGGATGTTCTCCAAATTCGATGTTTCTATATCCGTTGGAAAGCTTATATATTGCTCTTTAAAGCCGTATCATTGTTATTTTTTTATTTAATGCCTACATAAGGAATAAATTAATAATAACTCCTTATAGATATATATTTTTATCTCCATTTGTAGTTTGTTTACGAAGGTCCTGTTTATGTCATGTTGTGTAGTTTATGTGACCCTAAAATCCTGTTAAATTTCTTGTAGATAGCGAAATTCGTATTACAATTATAACATTTTTTATGATTTTCGAAATAAAAATCATCTGAGGGACCCAAACATTAAGCCTAAAAACATAGCCGTTCTAATGCAAATGTTTTCTACGCTTGCGTGCGACACATTTAGGGCTGTAGCGATCTCTCGCACTGATTGGGTGGGATTTTGATCAACAATGGCCTTAACATTGCTTCATTTTCACGTGGACGACCAGACCGTTGAGCATTATCGATGTCAAAATTTCCTGAATAAAATTTGGTACACCAATTTCGAAATGTGCGTTCGATCAAGGCATCATCCTCATAAACACTGCAAATTTTTCTGTGAGCTTCTGTAGTACACTTACTTTTTTAAAAATAATACAACAAAATATGCCGATAATGAATGATATTTTCTTCCAAATTCACAGTGCCAACTCCATATGACAGGAACCATAATACTAAGCTAGTTTCACCAAGAGTTAACAGATATAGTTTTTGATATATTACAAACAGGATAAACAATCCACCGTAGGGATTAATTCATCAGGTAAGAAGTCTATCATAGTGACATAAAAATAAACGAAAAAACCGAAAGGACTTATTTGCCAACCCAATACTATTTCTCCATTCGGGTTTCATATCTTCATATCAAATTTTCTTTATAAGTTCTTTATAAGTGTTTTTATTTATTATAATTTTTTTTTTATTTTAGTTTTTATCTAATGTTGTATCATGTTTGATTTATTCTGTTACTCCAAGTTTTATTTTATTTTATTTTCTTATAATCTTGTTGTTCTTTTATTGTATATATGGTATGATTGTACTTCATTCATCATAAATACTCAATGCCCTTAATTGAGACAAAATGTATTTTTTTTCTCAATAAAAATTGTTCATAAAAAAAAAAATATATTTCTTTAAATTTAAATTTTTCATATTTACATTTTTTCAACATTTCACACTCTCTCTATCTCTCTGCCACCTCATTTATTTCATCATAAAACTAAAATTAAATTTAAATCCGCTTTTGTCATTCTTGACAATTGAAATTGACTTCCATTGACTCTCCATAAAAAAATGTATTTTTAACAAGTTTAAGTTTAATGATTAAACAATGGGTGTTTGTATGAATCAATAATTAAACATACATATACAGGGTGTTCCGAGGGTATATGGATGTTTTTATAGAAGTAATAGTATACCTCAAAAGCTACAAAAATGCTTAAAAAAACAATGAACCAATTTCCAGTAGAGAAGTAGAAAATCCATATTTTGTGTTTTTTAATTAAGGCTTTTTGTTTATTAGTCAGCGAAAACTAAAGAAACACTTAATTTATATAATTAAAAATTGTTTCACTGTTGACTAGATAAAATTTCCTTTGAATATAAATAGGGTTTATCGTTGTTATCTTTGTTAAAACCATTTAAAGAGCTTTTTTAAGCGGCCAAACTAGGCTACGTTCTATTTAAAAAATATATAAATTATTCGCCATCTTTTTTTTTCTCATTATTCAATTGTCCTACAGATACCCCATTTTTACAAAAACGTCTTCGTTTAATAAGCTTTAAATCTGTGTTATTAAATAGAGATTTTTCAAAAAGAAATTTGAAATTTCTCTCGAGTCGTGTAAAAAAAAGATGAGATTATTTCTCCAGTCAAATATAAGTAACCCTGTATTCAGCAAAGATGACTACTATAATTTCCAAGTAATCTGTCCTGGTATTTTTCTTGTTTGTTCTATTAGGTATAGGGGTAATCTTTTAATTTAATTTTTTTTAAAAGTTTAATATTAATATTTTTTTAAATGTATATTTATTGTTTTATGTGTATTTATTAGTGTATATTGTTGACAATTTTAGATTTCATATTAATTTGATAATTTTAACTATTTTAACTGTCTGACCTTTACTGAATATGATTTTTAATTTATGCTTAAGAGTGTAGTAATGTCTGTTATGTAGTATAAAAAGGACTTTGTCTTTCCATAAGGATAATAATGTTTGTTATTTTGTGGTAGACTCCATTATTATGGGGTTCTTCGCTCAACAAAAAAAAATAATAATAATAAAATAATATAAAGATTGACTACAATTATTTATTGCACAGCTTTTATTTCTTATTTTTCAATGACCTGGGATGTATTATAAGAAATATAATTGTCTAAATATACTTTTTATTTTTTTAAATTTAAACATGATATTTTTTTTATTATATTTCATATAAAGTGATTTTAACCCAGATCTATACTATATAAATATATGCGTATTTACAAGTGATATAATAAATGTTTCTAGTTCTAAAATGTGAGTTTAAAATAAATAAACCTGTTTCTGATTACTTCAATTGTTTTCACGATAAATGAGGATCAATTCCTGTTATATAGATATGGATGAAAAACAAGACATACTTAAAAAACAAAGAACTTGGATTTTCAACTTTTCTACTAAAAATTGGTCCATTGATTATGTAAACGTTTTTGTAGCTCTGATACATTCTGTACCCACAGGACACTAACGGATCCAGGACTTAATTTTTTTTGTGGGGAGAGGCTTCAGTCCGAAAGATTTTTATTGCATTATATATACATATATACACACACACACACACACACACACACACACACACACACACACACACACATATATATATATATATATATATATATGTATTTATGTATGTATGTATGTATGTATGTATATAAATGGCGCCACTTTCACTCAAAATTTTTGAGGAGGCCCATTTTAACGATGCTATGAATGTTCGGAATGAAAAGTTCAAACCTGGGGACAAGGGGAAAGTGTAATAATTTATGGGCTATGCTTTTTAAAATTCTACTTTAGCTTGCACTGTTTTTAAGAACAGAGAGCAAGAAAATATATTGGAAGAAGGGGGAGGAGGTTTTTGAGACATCAACCTTGGGCAAATCAATTATTTTTTAATTGATAATGTAGGCAATAAGGAGAAAAATGAAATTAAAAAAAAAAGTATACATATATGTATATTCATAGAATCCAATATAGAGTTCAATTGGAATAATCCTCGAGTTAAACTTTAGTTTAAAAGAGCCTTATAATTACTAAAATTTTAATTAGCACAGAAATTCAAGGAAAAAGCTGTAAATGATTATAGACTATTTCTTTATTAAAATACATCATGTAATGAATTATATTGTATATTATATTTTTCAATTTATTAAACAATTCTTAATTAATAAAAAAATTCAGGATAAAGCATCAGTTAAAAAAAAAATACAGTTATGAAAAATGTTTTATTTTTTTATAATAGACATGCCAGTAATGAAAGCTATTGATGATATTTTAAAATATTGATAATTGTGAATTTCACTTGTCTAGAGTACGTCTAATCTTCTTCCAAAAATGAAATTACTTCATCCAATTTTCACAGTAAACGAATTTACCTGAAAAAAAAAAAGAAACTGAAATAATAATACATAAAATGAACTGTTCTATATCAATTCATTTATATAATCCATTCTATAATAATTGCAAAACTCTTTTTACCTTAGATTAATACTTTTGTAGAGTAATATTATATCCTCCGTATATAATAATCTTTTGTGAAAATATGAAAAAAATTTGAGATAAGGGGGAGGATGGGGATAATTACACTTTCTATATGTATATTTTTCAATATTTTTTAAAAATTATGATCCTAGTGAAATAATACTTCTAGGTATAAAATGTTTTTTATATTTTCTCTACACGTTATAATTTAAAAGTGAACATATTTTGGTAGTTTTATGCCTTCAATAAATCACAGAAAAAATATAGACAATGTATTTTGTTTTTTAGAGGGGTGAGAGAAGTTTCAGCCCGAAAGCCCCTCTTGAATACGCTAGTAAGGTCGATTATATATATTTTTTTTTACAGATCTACAATAATTAATTCATATACGATATAATTATCATATACGACGTAAATTATAGTTATACTGTATGATTTTTATAATAACGATTTATCCGGTATGTTGTAACATTGATGCCTAGACATTATTAAAGTCAGAGTGCTACTCAATGAAGAACATGGAATAGACGGTCAAACATCCTGGTACTGACCTCCATTACACTCGTTCTCCCTCCACATGACGCAATCGTTAGAGAATATCTTCTTGTTGACTCTCACTTCCATGGCACACACCGGATAATCCTCATCGGTACACTCCAGGTCGCAATCTGTTGTCGTCGTCCCGTTGTAAGCACTCCCGAGAACTACAAGGTCTAGAAAATACCAGAAAGTATAACTGTTTAGAATATATTTTGCTCATTAAATATCTTATTGAAGATAATTAAATATTTAACTATTCTTTTTATTTACGATATTTACAATTTTATTAAGAAAGAATACATTAAGTAAAAGTGATATCAATAAAATGAAAACATGAAAACACTTGTTGAGAAATTACCCACTTCTAGCACTCTATCATGTATTTACAATAGAAGATCTCGGGCTTTTCTTCTATTCAGACGCCTCGGATGATTATCAGGGATCGAATAGGAAGCAAGGTTAAAAACGAGAGCGTTCGGATGGTTCTGAAGTTTATTATGGAACGATAGGTATCTAGATTGGGCCAATTCGGAAATATAGGGAACATTAAGGTCTTTATGGATGATTTTATTAGTAACAAAGTAAGGAGCATTGAGGATTTTCCGAACGATTTTAGATTGTGAGGATTGGATGCGTGAGGAATTCGATGGCTTTGTGGACCTCCAAATTTCAACTCCGTATGTCTAGATAGGTCTTGTTGTATTCATGTATATGAGTCTTTTGTAATTAACTGAAAGCTTAGAGCGTTTGTCTAATAAGTGCAGTAGTCGGAAACGTCGAGCGGTTTCTTGTCGTTTAAGTCTGGTATGAGGATTCCCAGTTAGACGTTTGTCCAAGTGGATTCCAAGGTACCGGATTTGTTCAACAGGGATAAGCGGGGTTTTAATTTAATTTAAAGGATACTGTAAGACTGTAGGAAGTCATAGGTTTACGACGAAGGGTAAAGGTGATTTGACGGGATTTATTAGAATTTATTTTAATCCTCCAATTTTGACACCATTCTTCAAGGTTTGTGATGTCAATATTTAACTTAAATAATAAAAATCGAGTCTTTTTTACTATGCTCCATCCAGTGATTTTATATTTAGTGTAACAGTGATTATTAATAAGTTATAATAACCTTTATATAAGCATTATGCATCGTGCCATACAGTTTATTAATTTATTTACAAAAAGGTTACTGTTTCCAGAAATATGGTTTGAAAATACGAAGTTATCTTTACGGAAGGTACATCTATTTATGTAGAGTGTCCCGTAAGTAGAGGATAATTTTTATAGAAGTTATAAAAGCTAAAAAAAGCTACAAAAAGTTCGTATAAATAATGGGCAGATTTTCAGCAGAAAAATAAGAAATCGAAGTTTTGTAGTTTTTAAGTTAGTCATGTTTTATATGAAATCGAAATCAATAACTAAAGAAATATATAATTTAAGTAATTAATAATTTCTTGATTGTAAACAAGACGAAATTTACTTTAAATTAACATAGAATTTATCATTGTCAAAACCATTTAAAGATAACTTTTGAGCGGCTAAACTTAGCTAAGTTCTGTTTTTAGAAAAATGATAAATTATTCGTCATTTTTTTTTTATAATCCAACTATACTACAGTTACCCCACTGTTAAAAAACTTCTTCGTTTCATAAGCTTCAAATTCGTATTAATTAAGTTGAGGTTTGTTAGGGAAAAATTTAATATTCAGCTCGTTTTGTAAAAAATAGAAATTATTTATATTATTCTGTCAAGTAAAAGTACTCCCTGTTTTCAGCAAAAATGAGTACAATTATTATTTGAAAAGCTTTTATTTCTCGTTTTTCTATTATCTGGGATGTATTTCAATAAACCCAATTGCACAAACACATATTTTATTTTATAAAAAAAAATTATTTTAAAAAATGATGTTTTTTCATGTAAAGCGGTTATGAACAGTGTAACTATTTTTAACTTTCTAAACTTTAAATTGTATTTGTTAGCTGTAGTTTTGTTATGTATGCCTATGTAGTGGTTGGTCCAATTGTACCAGGTGATTGAAGATCCCAAAACATTTATAAATAAATAAAGTTGAGAAGCTCGGCCTACTCAAAGAGTAGCAGCTCCCGAGCAATCCATAATGGAGTGGATGTAATCAGATCAGTTAGGAACCAGTTAATATTCCAATCCACGGATTAAACGAGATCCTTTCCAATTCCGATCCACTAACTTGGGGTTCTCCTTTTAATATCTCAGATCTCAGCGATGATATTCCCCTTCAAGTTCTCGATCTCTTTCAAATCACAACTATTTTCATAAATATAATATTTATTATTCATTAATATTTAATTTTATACAGTTGATTTAATATTAATATGAAGTGATTTATTTCCTCTAATTGGTTATTATTATTTCAGATAGATAGATAGAAAAATAACTTTATTCATGATAATCAAAAAATAGTACATAATTAAAGGATTATATCTAGCCTAAATAAAAACAATAGAAACAAGTAAAGAAAACATTAGATAAACATACGAAACAAATGAAACGATATACAAATCACTTAAAACTATTTACAGTGGTAAAACAGTATGATTATACGCTTTAAAGAAAAAATTAAATAAAAAATGCATTAAATTCTTCTTTTAAAAAAACTCTTGTGGGGTTCAAGAATAACGAATTCTCATTGCTATCTAAACTCAATTTGAAAAGTTTCAACCTCATCCCCCCAACTCACCTACTTACTTATTGGTCCACTGACTGATTCTAACCGCAAACCTAACTTTTTTTTATCTACAGTCGTTTAGGTCCCCTTAATCATTTCATGATACAACTTTAAGTGTATCCGAAAATCTTTCCTAATAAAACTCAACTTAATTAATATGGATTTAAAGCTTATTTAACGAGGAAGTTTTTCTAAAACTGGGGTAAATGTAGTACAGTTGAAGGGTGATAAAAAAAATCATAAATAATTTATGATTTTATATATATATATATATATATATATATATATATATATATATATATATAGAAGCTCTAAACTTTCAATTAACTACAAACGACTCATATACATGACTATAATAAGACCTATTTGGACTTACGGAGTTGAGCTATGGGGCTCTACTAAACCATCAAATTCCTCTCGTATCCAATCTTTACAATCCAAAATCCTTCGTAAAATCCTCAATGTTCCTTACTTTGTCACAAATAAAATAATCCATAAAGACCTCAATGTTCCATATGTTTCCGATTTGGCTAAATCCAGATACCTATCCTTCCATAATAAACTTCATAACCATCCGAATCCTCTTGTTTCTAACCTTGCTTCCTCTTCGATTCCTGATAACCCTCCGAGGCGTCTGAAAAGAAGATGGCCTCGTGATCTCCTCGTGTAGACAAATTATTAACTGCTACCAATGGGTAGTTTCTCAACAATCGTGTTTCATGTGATAATATTCCTCTGTACACATTTACTTGATGTATTCATAATAATAAAGTTGTAAATATCATAATAAAAGTTAAAAGTTAAATTTTTAAATATGTAAAATATTAGAGATTAGAAAGGCACATATAGATAAGTAGATCATTCGCCTCAAACTTCGTAAATAGCTTCATCTCATCGTAACCTACAATTATTCTATTTTCGAAAATTCTTGGAATTGGGGCGTTTTCAATTTGAAGATCGTCATACTTCGTCTATTTAATTAGGTACTAAAAACGAAATATGTATTTGCTTTCCACTTGAATCGTAAGATAATTTGATCACAAAAATCAAGAAAATAGGTGGCCTACAAAAATATTGGACTCTTTAGCCTATATAACCTCGTTATTTTGACAATTTGGCGTTGAAGATCACACCAAAAGGTCCAATATTTTCATAGGCCACCTTTTTTTTAATGAGTAATAAATTAACACATTTAAATAGATAAAACAAGAAAAAAATTTGATAAGGAAAATAATGAAAAATACTCAAAGGATTGATAATAATGAAGAATGAAGAATGACGAATAATATTTAGATGAAACGTAGCCGATTAAGTATTAAATAATGTAATGACTGACCGAATTAAATTATAATATTTCAACTCAATGCAAAACATATTCAAACACGAAAAACATAAATAATTTCTGCATTATTATAAACGACATGGCCTTAGCCCTTAAAGAAACCATAATACTCCTTGATGGTTGATCCCATCTGAATTTTAAATATACCCGTTTCTACTTAAAGCTATTTTGAATATCTTCTATAATTCTCTCTACAGCAGTTCGTGTCCTAAGGGTGAGCATGGTAATATTATTGTTGTAAATAATCAATGATTAATTATGGATATAATTAATTAATTATTAACAATGATAAGGTTTTATGAATAATAAATTATGTTAGTCCGGAGTACAGATCTATTTTTGTCAAAATTATGATGATTCGTTACCTTCAACATTTTTTTTTTTAGTTTTATAAGGTATATTTTATTTATTAATACAGTTGTAAATATCATGAATATAACAAAAACAAAAAAAAAAAAAAAAAAGCCTAATTTTGTCAACAATGATTTCTGCTAAAAGTAGCGGAAATAGTTAATCTTGTCTGATGCGGGCAACAGATTTTCTTACTTTCACTTAGTTATATTTTCTCTCTCATTCAACCCTTTCTGGCACCAGGATATGAACTCGTATCATTGGAAATTGAATAACTATAACTTCGTTCATAGTTTATAAGGTACTTAAAACTATAAACTTAAGTATTCAGTACTTAATATAATACGAATCTGGAAAGAAAAGGTAGCTATAAAACTGTAAAGTCATATAACATATAACTTCTTTTTTTTTCGAAACCCTAGTTTTATATATGATTTTGTTTCTTATATATAAAACTGGGGTTATGAAAATAAAAAAATAAAAATGCAACTCATTTATTTTTTTTATATTGCTTATAACTATGAATTATTTATTAATAACCTTTTTTAATAAACTATATTAAAGAAACTTTAGCTAAAGAAATTTTAATAAGTGGGTATTTATATCCGTTCAGACAATATTGCCCAAAATCCGTCTTGGTCTTGCAATATTTAAGACCAAGACCAAGACCGCCTAACTGTTGCAAGACCAAGAACAAGACTGGTAAAAAAGAATCGATTTTTTGAATAAACATTAAGACAAAATAGTTAATAATACTTGACAATTTTAGTTAATATATGTAAAGAATTGATATAACCAATATACTTTCTAACTCTTCTAAGTTTTGATTCGGGCTTAGTTAGGTTTCTTCTATCCGAAAAATTATAGTAATAAGCTAACATGTAGCAGTAACAAGGCTGTTGCGAGATTCTTGCGCAAGACCAAGACCAAGACAAAGACTGAGTGCATAAGACCAAGACGAGTCTTGGTCTCGTATTTGGGCAACACTAGATCTAACTGATATAAAATAATATTCAATTCTATAGCGATAAAAAAGGAATAATCAAGAAGTGTGTAATTGTAATTATTTTAGTATCTTTTAGTATATATATACATTTATTTTTAATATTATTATTTTTATTTTGTTCTATTAAAAGTTAGAGTCCGAATGAGATTCTATATCGCTGTTACTAATGTCCTTATTTAATATTACTCAATAAAGTAAAAAAAAAAAAACGCTTAATTACATGGCTTGCTATATCAACTCTGTAATATCCAAGTCATATAACTAATTTAAATATATAATTTCAGTGTTGTAGGTATTTTGATTTTTGAATTTCCGTTGAAAAGTTGGATTCTAATATTTTCCATTACCGAATATCCAATTTATGGGTAATTGAAAGAATAAATTTTAATTACTCTCAATGCTTCACATATTATAAGTGTAATAAGTTATGGTATATATTTATAATAATTATAATACGACTCACAGAGGAAGCCAACCGCTAGAATTTGTACCTTCATTGTCGACTGTCTGATCGCTATCAAAAGTCGTCAACCATTTATAAGGCATGACTTGAGCGTTTTGCATATCTCGTTGTAGTGCCTATTGTTACAATTATATCTAGAATTAGTATCATATAGTAAATTATTTATTAAATAATACTATGTTATGAAGACATTGACATTTTTCTTTTTGCGCCTTAAGAGGATCTGCGCCTAATCTAAGTTCAAAAAATATCAGAAAAGTATTTATATCTTTACATATGTCCATCAAGATCCAAAAAAAAGTTGAATCAGATTTATTTTCCTGAAAATTGATCAAAGAAAATATTTTAGTACGATTTCTTTGATAAACTAAAGCAATGTAAACCGGTTTGTGGTAGATCAGTGTAAACATTTCAATACCCTTTAATATTGCTGACTTTTTGCCATAGCCTAATTTTGTCAAACAATAATTTCTGTTAAAAGTAGTGGAAATAGTGAAGGTTGTGTGATGCAGGCAACAGATTTTCTTACTTTCACTTAGTTATCGTTTTTCTCTTATTAAACATTTTCTGAAACCAGGATATGAAACCGTAATCTTACATTGGAAATGGAATAGCTGTAACTTCGTTAATAGTTGTCCGAAATGAACAATTTTTATTAAGTTTTTTTAGGGAATGTAATTACATTTCAAAAGTTAATTATAAATTCCATATAATATATACTTACCGAGTTAGGCCCCAAAACATTTTTCTTTTCATAACTTTTTCCCTGATTTTTTTCAGGATTTAGTCCATGTACAAAAATTTAAAGGACAATTATTAGAAAATTATAAGAAAGTTTCATCAAAATCTTTAGAGCCGTTTTCGCGCTACGGTCTATAGAAAAACATATTTTTAATTTATTTCGCAGCGCAGTCAAAACCCAACAAAATAAAAAAAGAAGCAACAAAGTCAGTTTACTGGTTCTCGAGAAAATCATGGCACAGACAGACAGACCAATGGCTAAAAATTAGTTTTTCTAACACAGGGGGTTCTGAAAAGTATAGATCTGTCGAAAACCGCATATCGGAAATTTGACCCGGTCGCAATATTTTCCTTACCTAGTATAGGTAGGGATATAGTAGTATAGGTATACCTTGCAAAAGTTAATTAATTGATTTTTTAAAAACTTATTTATTCAGAATTATTACAATCTGTCACAATTAAGGAAATTTATAATAGTGTTCAGAGATCATATTCACACTCTATTTATTGGTGTGTATGTGTTCATATATCATTATAATTATTGTCCACGTGACAGATTTTTATATGTCCAAATAAAAAAGAAACACTCTATTTACAATAAATAGAAATAATAATAATAAAAGTGAATGTATATACACTAAAACAAAGCAAACTAAACAAAATCAAAGTAAGTTAATCAAAATAACTACCCAAATACACTCATACTTCTATACAATATCTAAAAATTCGTTCACTCAAGATCTCCGAGCCAATCCTTTCTCCCCACGTGAAAGGAAAAGCAGGACTCTAGGAGATCCAGCGCCTTTCACTCAGCCGCATTACTGGATTAATTGAATTAATAATTAAATTTGAGGTAAGTAATTGAAGTTTTATTTATGTTCTTAGGTACATGATGAATATAAAAAATACAAGTTTTCGACATTGAAGGACTAACCATTTCTAACCACTGAAATTTGGGATTTTTTTGGTTTACGATAAATATCACACTTATCACACATAAAAAATCGTTATACAAACTACTGTAGTAGATCCAATTACAGTCACACAGCTTCCCCATTTGTAAAACCATTTTTCAAGGACGTGCAGGTGATTTTGAAGGGCTATTGAAGCTATAGTGGGATTTTTGTGAGAAGAAAGTATTGCCGTATCGTCAGCAAAGCTATAGAGAATGGTGCTAGGGTGCTCAGGAATATCAGTTGTGTAGACAGAAAATAGAAGAGGGTTTAAAACACTACCTTGTGGTACGCCCGCAAGTTGAGAAAAGAAAGGAGAAGTAGAGGAATCAATAGTAATACAGAAGAACCTGTCAAGAAAGAAAGATTGAAGAATCAGAAAGTAAGTTGAAGGAAGGTGTGGTTTTATTTTCCACAGTAAACCTTTGTGCCATACGCTATCAAACGCTTTCTCAATATCCAGGAATATCGCTGAGCAGAATTCTTTTTTTTCGAAGGCGACTGAGATAGCATCTACTATACGATGACACTGTTGTACAGTGGAATGGTAAGAACGAAAGCCAAATTGATGATTCGGAATAACTTCCCGACTTTCTAGGATTGGCTTTATTCTAAGAAGAAATAATTTTTCAAATATTTTGCCCATTATGGGTAAGAGTGCAATCGGACGATAAGAAGAAGGGTTACTGGTAGGTTTAGAAGGCTTAGGTATCATTTTTATTGTAGAAAGTTTCCAAAGGAGAGGGAAGTAAGTTGTGCGTAAGATAGCATTATAGATGTGAGTAAGAAAGATAATGGCTTTACGGGGTAGGTGGCGAAGGATGAAGGGAGTGACAAGATCATAGCCAGGAGCTTTTTTGTTTGAAAGTCGGTTGAGTTCCTTGTAAATGTCTTTTGGTTGAAATGCTGGCGGAGGTGGTGATAAGGGTAGTGGGGTTGTCAAATCGTCTTCAATCTTAGTATTGTGCGTGTTGTCCTGAATATTATTTGTCCCAAATACCTGAGCAAGATGTTTTGCGAATTCATTAGCTTTTTCTTCGCCTGTTATGGCCCAGGTATTGCCCGTTCGTCGGAGAGGATATTGAACATCTTTTGTCTTAAGTATACGTCTTGTTGCTGTCCATATTGATTCGTTTCTATTGTTCATTGAATTTAGGTAGTCCTTGTAACTGTTATTTTTAAATGATGACAGTTCTTGTTGGATTTTTCGGGTTAGTCTGTTAAGAGCTGTTTTGTGTGATGGATATCTGCTTCTTTGCCACAGAGCTCTAGTTCTGCGTCGTCAAGTTCGTCTGCTGTATTGATACAAGTATTTAGTATAATTTTGTTGTTCAAATAATTTTGAAAGTCGTCCCAGTTTATGAAGCCATTAATTAAAGTCGGTGGTTTAGATTTTGCGAAAGGGTGTTTTGACAGTTCTAGTAAAATTGTTCTATGATCAGATGATAAATCGAAAAGAGAGGAAATGTTGGAGTGGTAAGGAGCGTGTAACAAAGAAGTCGAGAAGATCGGGAGATTTTGATAGAGAAGTTGGCTAGTAAGTAGGTTGTGATGGGGAAATAATAGATAGTTTAAGATCCTCAATGCATTTTAGTAATCTTTTACCTCGAGTGCTTGATAGTCTAGAGTTATTAGTTGGGGTTGCAGGAAGTATATGATGGTTTAAAGATTTGTCCACAATGATTGCTGTACCTCCATGAGCCGTATGGTCTGGATGATCGGTCCTGTAAGTTTCGTAACCTTGTATCTTGAATGTTTGTTTGTCAGTTAAATGAGTTTCTGTTATTAGTGCAATATTTATGTTGTGTACTTTTAGACAGATTTCTAGTTCGTTTTTGCGTAAGAGCGGACCATTAGAGTTCCACAGGAGTATTTTAAGAGAAGGTTGTGTTGGATTAATCATTGGAAGAGTTTGAGATGAGAGCAGAGACTAATTTAGTGAGAAGTTCCAGAATTGGCGAAAGAAGGGATTTTAGGTCAGATAAAAAGGTTCTATTGAAGATTTTATAGCCGATGAGATATCAAGTGACGAGGAAGGAGGAATAGAAGATAGTACGGAAGAATAACTCCCTGTCACTTTGGCTGCTGGTTCACGAAATGGTTCCGATGGAGGAATATCCCTCATCATTTCTTGTTCTAATGAAGTAATTTCATCATTCGTTTGACGTTGTAATGAATTGGCATTAGTGGATTCAGAACGATTTTCGGTTCGAGTAGAGGAGGATTGTTCATCTGCTCTGGTTTCTGGGGATATATAATTGGTTAATTGCTTGTTTCGAAGTTGTTTTAAAGTTTTAAAGACAGTGCATCCTTTGAAGTTTGCCGGGTGTTCACCATTGCAATTGGCATAAGTGGCAGGAGTTTCTCTTGGTTTTGTGCAGAAAGCTGTGAGATGTGGTCCTGCGCACTTGACACATTTGGCAGGAAGGCTACAGTAGCCTTTTGTATGGCCATAGGCCTGGCATCTTTGGCATTGTGGTGGTTCTTTTCGCATGTATGGCTCTTCTATTTTTATTTTTGTATAACACAAATATTCAAGTTTGAATATCTCCTGATTTTTCGGGTGTTGTTCCAGGTCAATAAAGAATATCGACAAAGGATATTTCGTTTTTGGATGTTGTGCGTTGGTTATATTTTTAACTTTATATCCCTGATCATTAAGTTCAACTGTAATGTCTTCAGTTGGAGTTGTAGGGTGGAGATTTCTAATAACTATGCGAAAACATTTTTCTTCCTGGAGTTGTTATGTATGAAATAGGGCGTTTTGTGTTTGCAATAGTTTTATAATTTTGCGATAGTCATCTGAAGTGGACGGGTAGATAGTTGTCTGATTCATGCTGCAGCTACAGTAAAATCCTCGAGGACCTACTTCAGATGTCAAGCTTTGACATAATGTTTTAAAATTTTAGACAGATTTCACATGAATAGGAGGAGGCTTTGAAATTATGCAAGGTTTTTCTTGATTTCTTGGTGAGTTAGTCGTGGTTCGAGACGCGGTTTCATTAGATGCGGTGACTTGAATAGGGATAGGTTGCAATGTTGGTTTCTCGCGGATTTCCTTCTTAGGAGGAATAAGGATTTATCTGACTTCGAAAGTTTTACAAATGCTGGAGCTCGCTTTTTAGTTGTTAAAGTTTTTGGTTTTGGTCATCCTACAAGTCTTAAGGTGACTTGTAAGTTGATGATTGATTTCTTTTACTTGAAGTTAGTCGACGTCTTTGTCTAACCGTCTATATATTATTCTTACAGATATCTAACCTTTTGTTTTCAAAAGTAGTATTCCTTATAAAAAAAAAACTGTTCAAGGTTAACGGTTTGCCTTTCAACACTTCCGTCTTAAAGTTTAAATGTTCTTATAGTCTTTTCTTACTAAGAAAATCCGGTTCAAAAATCGATTTAATTTTTAT